CAACAAACGTCGGGAACCAGAGGGGATTGTGGTCCTCTTGTATGCATGTGCTTGGAACGTATGACGAGAGGAGGTAAACAGTTTTTACCTCCGACAGATAGAGATAGAAGTGCAGTAGGGTTGTGGTTTCGGCATTTTATGGCTAGAGAGATATATGCGAGACGTTGCCTATCTGCATCCGGGTGCTGAAAGTGTGCATAAACAACCATTTGTTATTGGTAAGTTTGAGCAAGGGTTGTTAACATGTTACTCTTTGTTTTAGATGAAATATTGATCAAAAGTAGTTTGAAAATGTTTGGTTAAGTACTTAGAATTCAATAATTTCAGCTCATATTTGTTGGTTTTGGATGTGTAGAAAATCTCATGGCCATAACGTTTCTGCAGGTTAATCATTCCATATGTTCTAATTTCTAACCAATGTCTGTAAGCTCCCTATTGTTAGGAGCATTTGGATGTACTGTCTGGGGCAAATTGATGTATCAATGTGTTGTAAAGTGTAAATAAAAATTATTTTTTTTGTTTAATTGATTTGTTGTTTAATTTCAATCTACATTATGTTAAAGGCAATAAATACATGTTAAAGGCACACTACCTTTAAGAAAATCAAATTCGCAACGCGAAAATCAAATTCGCGTTGCGAATTCGATTTTCGTGTTGTGAATTTGAGTATCAAGTTACGATTTTCGTGTTGCGAATCGGAGTTCACAATAACCATCTTTTTCTAGTTTCAATTCAAGATAAACACCTTCAAAAAGATAACAGACAACAATCTGATAAGTGATAACAACTGAACATATCATAGCAATGTTCAAACTCAAGTCACTAATGCATGCCTAACTAAAAATGTATGCATTCACACATAAAATACACATAATACAACGTTTGCATTTAAAAATCACCTAAGTTAATAGTCACAAAAGGTGAATGCGGTTGTGATTGGGATTTTGATTTTGATTGCGATTTTTATTTCTTTTTGCTTTGCACCATATGAGCTTTGAATTTTGATGAGGATCCATATTTTGGTAGAGGAAAAGATGATTATGATTCACATGTCAACCTTGTATGACCACTTTCCTTGCACCGACTACATGTCGATATCTTTTTCTCTTCACCCCTAGACATTATACGATCGTGATTTTTTTGTCAGCCAAGTAGTCTTCTGTCCATGACTGATGGCAAAACTGTTTGTAAGTCATCTGGTATGTCCCACTCAGAAAGATGTGGAATATGGTAGACAATCTCGTCATAAGTCTGTCGATATACTTCTGTAGTGTAGCAATCCATAGCGTATGCGCTTGAATTATCTTGGTTTAGATGAAGAGCAACTTTTATAACATGGCCACACGGATAACCAGATGTTTGTCATTTCATACGACTACACGTCTTTGCATTTAGATCGACAAGTTCATTTAAGTTATTTTCCAAGACTTCAAACAAAGTGTTTGAACATGGTTCAACTACACGTTTCATTATCTTTTTTTCAGTCCATGGTGTAACACGACGTTCTAATGTTTCTGTAAATTTAAATAAATAATACTTAGTAAAATCTATTAAATATGATAAGTTACGAATTTTAATAAATAATACATGCATGGTTTTTTTTCTTGTAGTACCACTGTTGAATAGAGACTCGAAAAAATTCCATTAACATAGTAATTGGTAATTTTTGGGAATGACGACTTAGAGCGTTGATTGATTCTGCACTATTAGACGTCATGAAACCATATCTTGCTCCAAGTTGATGTACTCTTAACCATATTTCAAACCCGACATCTTCTAGTGTTTGAACACATTGAGGCAAAACATGTCTTAAACAATTTATATGCTTATTAAAATCCACTTCCCGATAAGCTTTTACAGCATTCCAATATGTCCATTTGTGATTTTTTATACCAGCAGACCTTGATTTTAGATTTCTGTATAAATGAACACCACAAAGTCCATGAAAAACATATGGGAAACACCTTCATATAGTGTTGTCAATTAAGTTTGCCCTATCGGATATGATTGTCAGATTACTAATAGGATCTATACAATCCCTAAGATTCCCCATAAACCATGTCCATGAATAAGAGGTTTCAGATTTGCCAACCCCGTAAGCTATTGGCAGTATCACATTGTTAGCATCCATGGCTACTTTTAATAAGTTTACTCCAAGGTATGGACCTTTGAAATGTGCCCCGTCAACTATAATAACTGGGAAAATACAAGTAATAAACGAACGAATCTACAAAATAATATACACATGAAATATAATCATTTAAATGTGAAATGAATGTAACTAACAAAAATGAGTCAACAAAATTATATTGATTTACTAACCGCAACACCAATGGCGATAAACAATAACTCAAAACTTCAATCTCTATCTGTTTTGATATGAGTTACCGACCAAGGATTTTTCAGCTTTAAATTGTGACAATAAGTCGACAGTTGGGCAAACGATGCTTCTGGCGACCCTCTCAACAATTCCAAGGCATAACATTTGGCTCTCCAAGATTGAGAATATGAGATACTAATCTTGAACTGAACATTCATGTCAGTCATAATTTTATGTCCCTGATATACCATGTCATTCAAAAACATTAACTCAGCTAGAAAACCACCCAACATCTTTTTGTTTGTCTGTCTATGGTGAGGAAAAATTTGGATTCTTGAACATGTATGTTTATCAATAAAAGTCCTAACTTGAAACATTTCATAATCTTTTATCCTCTTTACAATCATACGTCACGTACAGTTTTTGTCAATCATACACTTTGTTTCGAAATGAGTTTTGCTTGATTTGTTAACTTTTAGTTGATAACCATCTTCCACACATTCCGTATACAAAGTTATCTTCAAGACTTCCTTTGTATCAAAACAATCATCTTTCTTGAAACGAATAATTTTTGTTTAACAATCAACTGCTATCTTTATCAACTCTTATTCCGGTATATGAAGTAATTCTGGCATATTCCAGTTATACTCCCTTGGTATTTTCTTATTTTTCTTTTCTTCGAGGATTTCTTCTTTTTCTTCTTCAGGGTTATATGAATTACAGAATGGATGTTCAACATGTTCATTCACAGCCTTAACTTCCTCCTCATTATCATCAACAACATCTTCCTCGGTAGCGGTTGTTTCATCATCAAAATTTGGGTATTGACCAATATCAAAATCATTACACGCATGGTATGTTTCTTCTTCTGAAACATCATCAAAATCTGAGTATTGAGCAAGATCAAAGTCCGAGTATTGACCAAGATCAAATTTTGAATACTGACTAGTACTCACATTTTTTCTGTTGGCTCATCATCGTCTAACTGGTCAATACGAAAACCGGAATTTGGTGCTGAAAGTTGATTGAGATTTGGATTAGGGAAATGTTGTGGATTTTGATATTGTGTTTGGTTTTGTAAATGTGGTGAAACAAAATTTTCTTGGTGATTAAATTGTGGTGGAATCATGAAATTTTGAGGTTGATAACAACGTTGTACATTGTGAGCACCATAAACTGGAGCTGAAGAACTTAGTTGATTACTACCCGTTACTGACCCAACTTCACTACTTTTAGGTTCAACAACATACAATGTAACATCATCTTGCGAAACACTAATGTAAGCAATGAATCGTTCAACATCTTCATTATCGGTTAACAAATAAACTTTACCTTTTCTCTGATAAGATAGCCTAAATCCACTTAGAGACTCTAAATTCAATTTTTCTGAAACACGTAACATTAGAGTTTCATAAGTTAACTTTTTTAATGACAGTTTTAGTTGAAGATTCGTGGGTAAAGGCATATATTGTAAAACACCATTAACATTCTCCCATGACCCCCTATAACACAAATATATCCAAACATGATCAACATTAGATGATTTCATTCTACAAATTGTAAATTAATTTACTAAACAAACGAGCAATAAACTAGATATCATCACTAACTTAGAGAAAAACGACGAAAAGGAAACTTGTGTTGCGAATTTAAAAATCGCATTATGAATTCAGAAATCGAGTTGCAATTCCGTGTTGCGAAATTGGAGTTCGTGTTGCAAATTTGAAAATCGCGTTGCGAATTCAAAAATCGAGTTGCGAATTTGAAATTTCATGTTGTGAATTTGGAAAGTGTGTTGCAAAATTGGAGTTCGTGTTACAAATTTGAGATCGCGTTGCGAATTTGTTGGTTATTTTCGCAAATAAAAAAAAAGTTGGTTAAAATCGTAAATTATAAGACATTTTCGGTCACTGAAGTTATTTTCTCTTTATGTTATTATGTAAATATTGGCTTGTGATGAGTCAGTGACGAAGTTATTATGATAAAAAGTGACTCATGAATATTATGTGACTAATGATTTATGCATATACATTCATTTTGTGATTAGAAGCTAATATTATTAGTGAATTAACTAAAGATGTAAAATAATAAAATATGCTTAGAAAGTATGATCTTAACAGTAGATTTAGAAAATCACTATAAATGCTACAAAAATGATTAGAAAGTGATTTTTATATCGTTGGATTCATATGTCAATATAGTTGTGTGTAAAACAAACGAATACTGATTTTGAATTGTATAATAGATTATATGAATTTTTTTTATCGATGATAGGTCAAAAAAATCGAGACAAAAGATTTTGCTCAAAATATATTCTGTGAGCTATATTAGAAAATTCACTATAAATTGTACATGTTGAATGAGAAAGAAATTCATATATGGTTAGATTTGTATTCAAGTTTTTCTAAGTGTATAGATCAATACATAATAATGATTCTTTGAGAGTAGCGCAAACTATCAGCATGCGAATTAAATGAAAATGAAAAGTACATGTTTAATTGATTCGTTAAAAGTAAATCTTTCATCAAATACTCTGATTTGATATAAAATGTTTTATATCTGAATTTCTGATTTACATGTTACAATATGAGAAAAATGATTTGAAAGTAAATTTTATATTAAATGTTAATATATGATATCAATATTATGTTTTATACTTTTCTTGGAACTTGAAAGGATCATGGCAAAGTTTTGGTGGCAAAAGTCCGAAACGAAAAGAGGCATTCACTGGTGCACGTGGGAAGCCCTTTGTCAGCATAAGGAGGATGGGGGTCTCAGATTCCGGGATATGGCGAAGTTTAACGTTGCTTTACTTGCAAAGCAAAGCAGGGGGTGGTTATTAACTAATTCTACTTCGCTGGTTGGACGTGTTTTAAGAGCAAAATATTATTCTTCAGGAGATTTTCTCAGTTCGGCTCTTGGTTCTTCCCCATCATATATATGGCGAAGTATTTGGAGTGTAAAGGGTTTGCTTCAAAAAGGTATGTAGTGGAAGGTGGGATCCGGAGAAGCCATCTCAGTTTGATTTGACTGTTGGCTACCTAATCAGGCGCCTCACAGGGTGCTTTCCTCCCTTGTGCATTCGATAAATATGGTGGTCGATCTAATTGATGAGAAGCATGGAGGTGTTTGTGGCAGAGGAAGCTAATAAAATTTTGGAGATTCCCTGAGCAAGCAGTAGACAGGAAGATTGTAGAGTATGGAGTGGGGAGAGATCGAGGGTGTACAATGTTAGAAGCGGATACCGACTTATGTTACTGGAGGTAAACGTATCACAATCGGAGAAAATGGTTTATAATGTTATATGGGCTACCTCATGTCAACTGAAGATTAAAATACAAGTATGACGTTTTCTAGGAATTTCATTCCAACTGCTCAGAATTTACGCTTTAGGCGTTTGATTCAGAGTCCATGTGTCCGAGATGTTCTATCGAAGTGGAATCAAATTTACATGTGGTCAGGGATTGCGTCCTTGCAAAATCAGTATGGAGGGATTTAAATTATTCTTGGCCATGGGTGATTTCACGATCTAATTTGGTGGAGTGGCTAGGGTAGCTTTTTCTAACAATATTAGTTCTAAACATGTAGAGATTCAGGTGTCAATATGGTCCTTGTGGTATGCTCGTAATATACATTTACATTTAAGGAAAAATGTTGAGAAATGAATATATTCTTACCTTGATTCATTCCTAATGCAGCGATTTTCCCACTGTCAACGCTCGATTGGGAAATACTCTCGACTCCCCTGTGGTTTAATGGCAAGCTCCTCCTCAGTCGGTTGTAAAGATCAATTTTGACGCCTATTTATTACTTGCATCAAAAGTTGCATGGTCAGGTATCATCATTCGTGACAACCTTGGGCAGATTCTAGGTGCATGCAGAAGGAAGGTTTCGAGAATTACCTCTGTTTTCTCGGGTGAAGATTGGGCGGCGATTCATGCCATAGATTTTGCACAGGATCTGAGATTTCAAAACGTCATTGTGGAGGGGATTCGAAGACGGTGATCGAGAAGATTTCATCATCGGAGTCAGATCGTTCGGAAATTAGTGCGCTGATTTGGGAAGCTCGGCGACGAGCAGTTGGTTTCCATGCCTGTTCGTTATGCTACGCCAATAGAAATGGAAATCAGGCGGCCCATATTTTAGCAAATGAGAGAGGGGTTGGAGAAATCGATCGGTTTTGGATTGAGGAAGCACCTCCTGCTGTGGAACTTCAAGTGCCGGAGGACCGTCACTACCTGAACCCTCCTTAGATGTCTTCTGAGGGGTTGAGTTGCTACTCTCTTAGGTTCGAATTTTGTTTCTTCTGTTTCTTCTTGTAGATCGCTCGTTCATGGTTTCCAGTTACATGTAAGAAAAAGAAACGTCAGCCATGGTTTTATTTTGCTTTTTGTTTTCTATTTGTTTTGATGAAGCTGCTTTCTTTCGATGTCTTTTATTTTTAGTTTATTTGTTTTGCGGGACAGCTATACTTTGTTTGGTTTATTTCATGGCAGACGTTTCAAGTCAAAAAAATGTTTTGATATTTTTAATTTAAAAGTTATAAATGTCTCAATAAGTGCATATTTAGCATGTGATGATTTTTACACATAGATGAAAAAAAAATGGAACAAGTAACTTAGTTTGACATCAATCATCAAAGAATATTTACCGGTATCAATAATAGCATTCTACTATTGTTTAATTTCTAGTTGACATGTATACATATAATAAATGTCGTAGTATTTTAATATGGTAAAATTTGAGATAAATTAGAAATACTTTGATATGTGTATGGCGTTTAAATGGTTCATAATAATTTATATGAGTGGATTTTAGTAAGTAAAATATGATTAAAAATAAGGGTTTTAGTTTTATATTTGATAAAGTTATATTTTATTAGCGTAAAAATGAATTTGAAATTTGGTAGTTTTTAGGCAGTTTTACCTTATATATGAAATAATATTGAATTGTTATGTTGCTTAAAATCGAATGCGAAATATATTTTTAAATATTATTTTTTGATTTTACGTGATTAACTTGTTTCAATGTTTAATGTTAAATTTTATAACTTTTAAAGAAACAAAATTTTACTTGTTTTCAAATAACAAATATATTATAAATGTCATGTGACGTCCCTGACTTGTATTCAGTAATAAATACGGGAAAATGGTGTTACATTTATTGACATTATTACTGATATGATATTTATATGATTTGATTGATGTCACTCCTTACTAGTGAAAGTGAATAAGTGTAGTGTATGTATTAGAAGTTTGAAACAGAGAGTTTAAGGCAAGCAACCGAACGGGAGGTTACTAATGAAAGTGAATAAGTATAGTGTATGTATTAGATGTTTGAAACAGAGAGTTTAAGACAAGCAACCGAACGGGAGGTTACTAATGAAAGTGAATAAGTGTACTGTATGTATTAGATGTTTGAAACAGAGAATTTAAGACAAGCAACCGAACGGGAGTCCAAAAATAAGCTATTAGTGGAAGTACTGAAGTTATCACGATCTTTTTGTTCAATCTAAAACCCATGAAAAAGTCATTCTTGAGGGTGAACTATTCATTTACGAAATAAATTTTTTTCCCGGAAAAATTATCGCTTTGAACCCTAAGCTTTTCTTAAATGTATACTTTGATCACTAAACTTTCAAAAATTACATTTTTTGTTACTAGCCAAAATTTGGGTACTACAGATTGAATTAGTTTAGGGAGAAGATTGTTTGGAGCAATGTAGTACCTGTACTTGATTTCTAAAATTACGTTGCTAGTTCAGATTGTAAATTTAGCCGCTTTGAACAAATAAGATTTTGTATATTCGTTTTTATTGGTGGTATTTATTGTTTGTTTGAAATTTTAATATGTTTTATGTTTGTTTTTGTTTACTATGAAGATATTTATATTCGATTCATTTAATGGTATAGACATATTTATTTAATTTTCACGTATATGATAGTAAACATACTTACCTCCAAACTTCGTCGACATGTCAGTTGCAACCTTTTAAACCTTTTGATTTACGAGCCAAGAAAATGGTAAACTAGACTATCAGTTTGTAAGTTCATTAAGTTTTACAATTGAACTCTAAAATTCATTTTAAGTTTAATTTAATTTGTCTTTATTAATATTTAAAATGTAAAAAAGAAAAAAAAAGTGAAATTAGATAAATAAATTTATAAATGAGTCGATCAATAAGTTTTTAAATGAGTTTATTGGTGAGCATAAACAAATCAAACGCACATTCTATGTGTAATTATTTGTTTACTAATTAAATAAAAAAATGTTGTCAATAAATAAATATTTTACAAATAACTTATGGGACGTTTAGTCATTTACATTCCAACCTGCACTTCGCATTAGTCCATTGCGGTTATCAAAACCAGCAGCATTATGAAAGGCTGAGCTACGAGCACCATTAAGGATCCGCCAAGATTAGACGACTGCAATAGGTCATGCTTTATGCCAAACACTTGCATGATAATACCCTCCTCCTATGCTGGGCAGGTGAGATCTTCTTCAGCAAAAGCTTTAACATATTTAGCTGCTATCTCGCTTTGCTGGGCTCGCTGTTGGATTAACACAGCTTGCTCTTTAAGAGGCAATAAATTAACAAGGCATCCATTCTCATCCAAGATCGGACCAGCTATGATACAAATACGCTCATCGGCTCTAACAGCTAATGCACAACCTGTAGCAACTTCGTATGTGCTGAAATTTAGGAAAGCGTTTTTTAACAAGGTTTGGTTCTCTGATGACCAGTAGCACCATAATCAACACCTGCAACAATTTATCTTCTCTGCAAAAGGGTTTAACAAGATTCACAGAGGAGAACATAAAAAGTCGAACAGCAGAGGACGTACCAGCCACCAATCTCTCCATATGTTATATGTTTTCTCAGGCCACCAATCTCTCCATATGTTATATTGCTCCAATTCTTCTTTTCCTTATGCATCCGTGTCTCATACACCTGTATAATGTATACTTGGATATAGGAACAGCGCATGGGGAATCATCCTCAAAGAACCCTTCCATGTATACTGGATATAGGTACAGGGCATGGGAATGTTCCTCCAAGAACCCTTCAATACATATAAATATGAGACAAAATAACTAGGATTGGACACGTACTTATGTCCGACACATGCATCTTAGTATGAATAAGGTGGGTTACATGTACTTGCAAATAAATGTGAGATAATATATCCCTACTCAGTATAGTCTCAAACATAAACATCTAGCCTTGGCTGCAACACTGACTCCAACTTCATGAAAACGACTACTATCAGCATGTGGACGAATATTAGATGTGAGGGTTCTTGAGAAAGCCTTGCTTATATCATTACACGGATTCCACCTTCCGCTTCCGTTGCAGCATCTAGCGATTCTGAGTCCATCATTCTGCAGCATCTAGCGATTCTGAGTCCATCATTCGTATCTTCCATTATTTGGTTCATGGACTACAAATGTCGTAACTTATATAAACTACGAATCTATGCAATGTAAACATAAAGGTTAATCAGAGCTAAAGTAAGATAAAGACTGAATCATACAGCTAAAACATGTTCAATCATAATTATAATGACTGAATCTTAAAGGTTCAAATTTTGGTTATAAAAATGGTTTTCAGCTATCAAAATCTGGGCAGAAATTAATGGTAGAATGCCTGGCTGTAATGGGGATATTCATCTTCTCGTGTACTCATGGACAGCGAGCGTCAATACCCAACAAAATCAAAGAAATAAAGTTTGAAATGTGTTTTCGTGATAGTCGAACTCAAGACCTCCACTTAAACGAGTGCTCTAACCAACTGAGCTACGAAAGCTGTGTGCTACTAGACAGATTAATCTTAATTTCAAAATTAATAAATGAATAAAAAATCTACTATGCTCTCGTTGAGAGTCGAAGCAATGTTATAGAAACGACTAACATAGGGGTCATCTCATTCTCAAGAGCACAGCTGGGGAACGAAAAAGCACTCAATGTCAAGCATATACACACTCATCATAAAGAGAACACCGGGCACAACTTCCGCCTTGCCTTCCTCCCTCCACTCTGCAACCTTGTGCAATTTGTTCTCTTACCTCGGCATGAAGTTCGAAATCTCTATGTTCTGAACCAGAAAAC